GTTGCGTTTTGATGATGACTAGTTGCGTTTTGATGATGACTAGTTGCGTTTTGATGACTAGTTGCGTTTTGACGACTACTAGTCGTATTTTACCTTCTGATCTGATAACGACGACGACTAATCATGTTTTCATTTCGACTGATCTGATAACGATGACGACTAATCGTGTTTTGCATTTTTGTATAAACCGCCGCCCATAAACCCTTGATTAAAAAATCGATGAAAATGTTACCACTTTTCGGACCAATGAACCTTCGGACCAATGAACCTTCGGACTATCGAGACGCCCCCCACAATCAAACCATAAATCGAAATTCCCGCTTTGACGCTTGAGTCAGTCCTCTCCACAAACCGCAGAAGTAGCATTACAAATACCTGTCCAATGGCATGGCTTCTTTTTCGTAAGCCAGGTGTAATGGGAGGTTAGAGACCTTTCCAGTTTATTTCTACGTGGCAGTCTAAGGTTGTTCTAGGTGGTTTTCAAGTTTATGCACCCGTTTTTAAAATCATTTAGCAATATTACGACAATGGTTTACTATCCAATCAAGGTGACAGTCTAGAGTGAGTGAGTACACGCTTGCCTGAAACTCGCAATACATTTCCACAGCTGAACATCCTTTTGAAATGCCAAAATGTTGAATGGATTTTATCCAAGGTTTTTGCCAAGTTGAAACAGATTTGGAAAATGTTATATTACATCCCATGTTTTATTATATTGAAGTTTGTTTTCCTAAAACAAAGATAAGCTAAAAACTGAACAGTTCAAAGTTGGAAGGATAGAAAAAGTTGAAAGGGTCTGAGCACTTTAATAATTAAGATGTATTGAAGGTAAAGTCACAAAGTATTCAGTATAAACAGAGTGTTACAACAAGGTTAGCTTTAATGTTTTCCTTCATCTGCATGTTAATTTGATTTTAAATTCAAATCCATTTTACAAGAGAAAATCGGTTCAGAATGTAGTTCAATTAAAAACATATTTTGTTTCAGTTTTCTTATAAATGTTTAGCTTTTCAGTTCTTTAAGAGCAAATTGATATTAAATTATAACATATTCATCCAGTCCACAAATATAGTTCCCCTGAAACACTGTTTGTGCTCTGCCAACCACTGATATATCTGTGAACTCGAGATCACCAGTTTGATCGTATGTCACTGCCATTTCTCCCCCTCTGTTGACAACACGCTTAACCTTTTTATTTGGTTTTTCCCTTGTTTTGAATTTCTTCTTTTTGAAGGCAAGGGCAATAGCTGCTGCAACAGCACTTGTTCCACATGACATTGTCTCCAACTCTAATCTTCGATTATAAGTACGCACATGTATTTTACGATCTTCATCACAGTGAACAAAACTGATAAGATCTCCATAATATCTATATCCTTGAGAATCCAGACTTTCCTTGTGAAGATCCAGACTATAAACGTTTGGTTTGAACTGGATGTGATGGGGTACCCCAATGTCAACATAATAGTTCAACTCATCCAGCTTGGTTATGGTGTCCAAATCATGAAATTTAATCCTTATTGCATGTTCTTCTGCATAGGACTTGGCTGAGTGAATTCCATGTCGTGATTTGAAATAAATCTCTGCCTTCAAGGATAACTTAATGTCTATTGCGTATTGTATGGCGCACATCATTGCCATTGCACACAATGATCCAGGTTTTCCTTGTATGTTGTAGAAACTCATTTCAAAGTCCCAGGAAGGATGACTTTGGATGGCTATCAAGCCCTGTGCACCAATTCCAGTGTGTCTCTCACACATGGTCTTGATCACATCTTCATTGCAGGCAAACGTGTTCTGCCGATTATCAACAATAAGGAAATCACTGCCTAGTGCTTTGTATTTGTGAAACTTTATACCGGACATGTCGTAAAATAAGTTGTAATCTAAGTCAAATTATTTACAGACTGTTCCTTTGCTTCAAAGTCCCTGTTTCCAACAGCAGTGGCTTGCTAATTGATTGAACCATGTCAGTGGATTGCTGACATGATCTCATGTGATGCAGCCAGTTTTCAACTAGGCCCAATATTTCAGCTATTCTAGTGATTGTTATAACACATGTAAAGTGGGTGGATTTAAAATGATAGGCAGGATATCAAGGATAATCAGCCATAACAATAGGTCTAAACAAGAGATAAAGATAAACAGTTCAAAATAAGTATTTGATATGGTTATTATCTACTCATCAGATGTTGTTAAATGCATTTTAATTATCGGAAGTTGGATTGTCATGATTTTTTTGTTGTTGTTATGGTTTAAGAAGACAGCAACAATACGTATAGAAACAATAACATTATTTTTTCAATAGAATAACATAAATAGAAAAAGTCGGTTATTTCTGAACCTTTTAAAGACTATATAAAAACTTCTTATGATAAGAATTTAGTCCTAGTTTAATATAGTATTTCATGGGTTACTTATATAGAAAATTGCACACAGTATGATGAAAGTTGGCATTATTTCTATTTTTGATATCATTTGATCAAAATGTTGCTTTATCTCCTCGAGCTCTGACAAATAACTAGCATTCTGCATGTGAAAAGGAAAATTCAGGTTTACAATTAGTTTTATAGATGGGTCAATCTTTCAAATTTCATTTATTTCTAGACCAATCAGAATATCCTGTGGTCAGTTCGCAAGAATGGCAAGTGGTAGTGCTGTAGCAGAGGTAGGAGAAAAACTTATATTATCACATATACCAAAGGTGTCGATATTCAGTATATTTATGGAAAAGCAGCTTGTCTAGACAAACAAGGAATCCTAATTCTATGATTTACACCATACAAATTTCTCGCTATTATACCAAAATAAGTTTAAAAAATTCCAAGTAGTAGAGGAATTGCAAGAACATAAAATGGTAACATTTGTTGATGAGCAGCCCATGTTTGGTTGTTTATGCATCCTTTTATGCAATTCACATAATGTTTGATTACCCTTGCAGATTGGTGACACTGCAGTGATGGCCACTGCAGTAAGCAAGTCTTCTCCACCCACTGCAGGTCAGGGATTTATGCCATTATCTGTAAGTCATGCTTTTTGTCCCTCAATTTTTTTCACTTAAAACATGCAAGTGTTTTCACAAAGTTTTGCAGTTAATATTGTTATTGTTAAACATTTTTAGATAAGAGAACTTAAATGCAGATAGCCTCCATAATTTTTATCCTAAAAGAGAAAGTTAAATTTAAAACTGTCTTTTAAATTAGAACCATTCCCCAGTATTTTCTTTTTTTACATAGTTCCCCCTCTGTAGATTCTTTAAAAGTCATCATATAAAATCTCCTATAAAAGAAAAAAGAAAATAGGAAATGGCAGCTACATTCTCTAAGCAAAATATCTAGCAAATTTGCAAAAGGAATTTGATGTTCTGACAAATTTGTCGCAAATTAGCAGCAATACAAATTTTTCATGCAAACTCCTTGCCACAAACTTTTAGTTTACAGCTTTGCTGCAAACTTTTCCTTTTTGCAAAGCGGTTGTTGGCTTTTCTGAACTAAATTGTTTTGGGTTTATAAATGCTATAGAGGGGAAAATTGTTAGGAATGATGTTAACAAGTACTGCTTTACAAGCAGTAAATACAACACTATTTCTATGTTTCAAATGGTCACTGTGTTTTATGAACCCTGTGCCTGTATGTCAACTTAATACCAGGTTGACTATAGACAAAAAGCTGCTGCTGCTGGAAGAATACCCACAAACTACTTACGCAGGGAGCTAGGGCCAACAGAAAAAGAAACCTTAGCAAGCAGAATGATAGGTATATAAGATGCAAATGTGTGTTTTAATGCAAGTTGCTTGCCATTTTACAATAATGGTCTTTTTTTTGGACCGACACTGTGTCTGGACATTTAGCCATCACCTGCATCTGCTGTCATCCTTGCTGTTACTGTTGTCTTTTGTGTTGCCATTCACACTTTTCTGCATTAGTTGCCTGTATAAACTATAAGTGGAAAACCATCTTACTTATTGTTATATGATTATAGGACTATATACACACCAAGTTAAAATACCGACCTGATTGGATTATTTTCTTAAAATTATGGATCAGTTGTGAATCAATTATTTTCAACAAATTAGGATTTTTGAAGCCTAAATTTCAGTTCCTTTTTTATTTCAGATAGGTCCTTGAGACCCCTTTTCCCCAGTTCTTTTAAAACTGAAACTCAGGTACTTAAAGAGAAGTGATTGTCTTATTTATAATGTTAAACATATTACATGACAATAACTAATGATTAATGAGTGGGATTATGCTTTATCATTTATTTATGTCCTAGGATGTAGGTTTCACTAGAGTTTGGTTTTACAAGGTTTGCAATATGGCCCCATTCAGAATAGGGGACTAACTAGTATGAGGGTCAAATATGGTGACCCACTACAAAGCTTGCTGTCTAATCCACTAATAGGCACTGAATAGATATCCCGTGTGGAAGTATTCAAGTGTGTCGGCCATATTTGACCCTCGGACTAGTTAGTTCCCTGTTCTGAATGAGGCTTATGACTAAATGTGACTTTCTTATTTTAGATTATGTGCAATTTAATGTCTGTGGATGGTCAACATGACCCAGAGATTGCTAGTCTAAATGCTGGTAAGTTCTCATCATTCCGTCATCTATGTTGTTTGAAAAGTATCAAATGTACATATTTTCATTGATTGATCAATTTTTTAAGATATTAAGAATTTGTGCAGAAATACTGTTTTTTTTTTACAAAAAAAAAAAAAAACTGCAGTTCCTGTTTCAAGTTTGAACGTTGATCTCTGGTTTCCTTGGCAACAGGTGAAGAATGAAAAGTTCAGCTTTTGTGTCTAGTGTGGAGTTTATTCATCAGAATAATCAAATAGCTGAATGACAGTAAGACTTTACCAATGCTTATTCTCTTTTCAGCGTCTGCAGCATTGTTGTTGTCTGACATTCCGTGGAATGGTCCTATGGGTAATGTTTTTTTTAATCACTTGCAACTCACAACACGTCGACATCTTAAACATTTGTTTTAGCCAGTTCAAAATATTTGAGTCAGATTTATGTAATGAAGAGAATAAAATGAAATAAAATGTTTTTTATCCATATCCTGTATCTGAAATTATTTTATGCATATGTTTGTTCATCTGGATGGCACGAAGGTAAGATATTTTCATGTAAATGTAAGTAAATGAACAATGTTTGATCAAATATTATGCTTACTGAAGCATGTCAAATTGAGTTATCAGTTTTGATTTACCCTAGGTGCTGTACGTATTGGATATACAAACAAAGGCTTTGTTGTAAACCCAACTAGAAAACAACTGATGAGCAGCAGATTGAATCTGATTGTAGCAGCTGTTGAAAATAAAGTTGGTAAGTGACAATATTGTACCCCCAGCGTGAGTGCTTGTGATGCACATTGTGTCCGGAACCGCGCAAATTTAGATATAAACGTAATTTAGAATTGAGCTCGAAATGCGGACACCGTTGGATACTTTAGTAAGGATAACGCTTTAGTGTAACCTTCCAGATTCGCGGTCGAAATCGTTACGTCTAAACGCTACAGAGGAAATCCACACTGACAAGAATGACCAGTTTCAATCGTTTAATGTGAACTCATTGCCTGCTCAGGTACATTCTGATTCCCTATTCAATATTACACACTTTTAGTACGTACTCCAGCCAATGGCTTCATGCACTTCTTATCACTGGCTTCTTAATGTGACAGGTACACAAGCCTTACTCAGCCTCTTCAAAATTGACACAATGTATTATGGAAAATAATAAAAATTATGACTTGAAACTATTGACATCGTCCATGAATTATTAAATGTCTCCGACATATTCTCATACACCTGTGAATGCTGAGTCTATATTTTATAATCATTGTGCAGGAAAATCTGCTTGAAATGATAAATTTCTTATTGATTTTCTTATAATTCAATGATACGTCAGTCAACATTTAATCATATTGTCGCAAGTGGATGGCAGAAACAAAGACATATGGTGCGTTACCTGCGCATATTCATTTTATTCAAATATCGAATAATTGTTGTTGAATAATATTTTAATATAGAAATATTGTTCGTGTCAGCCGTAATGGACTTTCAGTCAATTTTGAAAGGTAAATAGTGCATATACGAAGATTTTGCCATAAGAAACACCTGTTATATGCACTGTTTAGTTTCTATAAGCTTATCAATCACCGACCACAATTTAGACTGCATACTGATATTGACATCGTCCATGAATTATTAAATGTCTCCAACATATTGATTCAAGTCCTGACCTGTCTCGACCGCTAGTGTTAATGCTGGCTCCCCCACACAGTCACCGTTTCTGCTTCTCCTCCAAGACTACAGGGACCTGTGTCACCATATCTAAACGTAAGGCCACATAATCTCAACCTGAACCTGCTACGGTAATATGCCAAACAATTCGACCAAGATTAATTAATTAATTTCATGGAAATGTTAGTTTGGTCGAATTGATTAAAATACAGCAAATGGAAACCTTTGATATCGTCGGATTGTTAGGGGCATCTGCCAAAATGTCCATCTTTCTGGAAGTATTGGCTATTGCCTTTTACCGGAAGTGTTACGCAAGATAAGCCGCAATTTTCGCCTAACACGTGTTTCAGGCATGTTTTATCCTCCTGAAATCTTATTTTGCTGTGTACAATATGTGCTAACATTACTTAACATTAAAAAAAGACGACAATTATAATTTTTAATTATATATTTCCCTCACCTACGATCACTTTCATGATGCGCTTCACAAGTGGGACGAGTATTTCCCCGGAGACAGGTGTTGTAAACAAAGACCGGTCACTTATATTTGAAACCGGTAGCTTTAGTGGACTTAAACTAGTTATGTGATTTACGTACGCCCTATTTGAATTTTAATATGACAACTGAAATCAACCGAATTGAAAATTTTTACCAGTCTGAGATCAGTTGTTTTCAACCCGCAAGGCTTGCTCAGCGTCGAGGCGTAGACGTACGTACTTCCGAAGAAAATTCAATCACCCGTATCAAAGAATACCAACTGGTACTCAAACGGAAATCAGTGTAACTTCAAATTACTATTTAGTATTTTATTTAAAAAGCATGTCATATAAAAACATATTGAGAAAAGGCAAAATACGGAGCGTACCTGTGCCGATTGACATACAGTATCTTGCTTGCACTCTTCCGATTTTCTTACTTATATACTCTCGCTGTGCACAAACCACGGTGCATATTGAAAACCCCACTGATACATCCCGAACGTAAAAAAAGCATTTACTTGCCATAATTTTCACAAAACAGGTGCATTTATAATTTGATGTGAGAATTGAGCACATGCAGAAATGAGAGACTGGTTTTATCTGGCCTGCTCCAGCATAGCGCAAACCACATGTTAATGAAGACGGTCCCATTTTGGGGGAGGGGGGTCACAGGAATGGAGTTCATCGTGGATTACGCTAAATATTATCAACATTTCATGCATCTGGGGAAATAGAAATTGACTCACAGGTAACGTAAATACCCAGTGGAACTCTCTATGAAGCTCCCATGGAGTTAAGGAAGACGTCATTTTTATTGTTGACAAATCAGTTTTCCATGTAGGTGAACAGCGACACGTGTTCGTCAGACTTTGACAGCGCGTGGTATTTGGCGCCAAGAAGTCTGGGCGGTCGATCCCGCTGATCTTTCGGTCGATTGTAGTAAATGTAAGATCTTGCGATGTTGACGTGTTCAAGAACGTTTCCCCATCTGCATATATATTTCAATCGAACTTGAAAATAAATTGCTTATTCTTCCCAAACTTTTTATTGCTAGCAAACGCGATATATGGTCTATATGAAGGTGTTTACGACGTATTCTACCCACTGTCGATATTTGGTTTCATCCAGAATAGACCTTTTTTTAAACCCCCCCAGTTACGGCGTGATGAATCAGTCAGCGAGGGCAAGTATGCTTAATTAGTAAAATTTGTATGTCTATAAGGACTATTATTGTCATCGGGGACAAAGGAAAAGACAGGTACGTCATGCTTCCAGATTAGATCTTCAGTTAATTGTTTCTTCCTCATTGACGAGAGCTATTGAAAGGACAACAATTGACAAAGGGCCGAGGCATGCAGCATCTATTTCACTGGCTTGAAAATTTACCGAGTCTTGTCGACGATGTGGTCGAACAATCGGAACAAGAAAAAAATTCTGGCCCATGATTTTGACGTATGGACTAATTGTTTGAGCCCAGAAAAATTAATTTTATAAAATAATTTTTGTGGTCAGATTGACTGGGCCCGTCGAAATGCTTGGCACATTACCGTAGATTTTGGTCTCTGTCACTGCATTGCACCATTGCCAAAATTTTTAAAAATTAAATACTCCCAAACCAGAGGAATTATAGGAAAAGTTACTAAAGAAATCTGGTGATTTCAGAATATGACTAGTGAATCATAACATCTTTCAAAGAGGGGCTTTCTTGATTGTTGTAACCCTGGTTGGTGTGTGAGGAGTGGAGTCCAGTTATGGTGACCTCACTTTATAAAGTGTCACTTTACAGTTACTGGGACCTTTCTAGGAGTAATGACCAGATTATGTCTGATGCACATGTACACCCAAGTATCATATTTTATACCCTCACCATACTAGTAAAGAATTGCTCATCTTGTTTGTGGGACTTTTTTTTATGAATTGTAGTTTGTAGTTTTGTTATCATGTTGCCATCAAACACATGTATGATTTTCATTTTCAGTGATGCTAGATGGCTCAGCAGAAGTTCTTCCATATGGACTTTTCAAAAATGCTGTACACCTAGGAGTGGAAAAGGTCAGACCAATCCTAGCGGAGCTTAGGACATTGCAGAAAAATTTTGGAAAAAAGAAAAAGCCAATTGTTATTCCATCTGAAGATATCATCCCTCAGGAGATGCGTGATACCCTAAAAGTGTAAGATTTGGGGATTACCATGTGTTACTATTTTGATAAATTTTAAGTATGGTTGATCTGTATGAATAAAGATGTTTTAAGTATAATGTTTGATCTATGTGAACCAGCAGTTAGCATCTGTTCAATTGGTTGTCTACCATTTCAAATTAGTACCATTACTTAGTACAACTCAGTATACATATGTTACGTTAAATAGAGGTACAAAATACTTTTTCTTATATTTGGTGTACAATGCATGGCATCTTAATGATGTTTTGTAAGAATAAGTTTGTAAGTAAGCTTTTTGATGGAAAGAACATCAATATTTAAATGAAAAAAAAAAACTTTCACATTTTATTTTAGTATAGCAGAACAAAAATTACATGGAATTTTTACTGACAGCAGTCACAATAAGGTAAGGAAAAAATAAGATTTTTCTTTATTTATTTCTCATTTTTTTCAGGCACCTCACTTAATTCAGTTATACATGATTTCTATATTCTTATTTTCACTCACTCACCAAAAGGCAATTTGTAACTCAAACTTAGCCTTGTGAGCATGTGAGTGACTTCGATAATGAAGATACATTGATCTGCAACTTTTTTTTACTCAGTATGCATGTCAGATGGCAGCAGTCTTATTGTAATCATTCAGAACTGAACTTAAAGTTGTAGGTTTCATAGCTTGCCATCCAAGCAGTGAGTTCCAGTTGATTACCAGAAGTTATCTTGCTATGGACACTTGTTGTGCTTTTATAATGTGGTTGTTGACCAATTCAGTTGTGATTTAAAATAGTCCTCTAAGAAAAGGGAAGTGCCTGTCTTGATACATGGTCTGGTTTGATTTTCAGTTTTCAAGAGATAAGGCGGTCAATGATGTCAGATATCAAACTGTCAGAGCTATGCAAGGTATCAATGTATCCTCCATCTCAAGTAAATTTTATGAATTTACTCTATACCTAATTGATTATGTATTGTAATCAGAAAAGTTATCTGAATCATTGATACAAGTAGTAACTGTGGCATAACCATATTGTTGTGGTAATCAGTCACTTATAAAGGGGTTTAGTGGGGTCTTCTGTTTATGTTATTTCTTAATTCCAACACATATTTACAGTGTGAATTTAATGGATATAATCTGATTTATTATCAAGTTACCAAATTTTAATTTACTAAGTAATATGTACATGGTACCAATTTCTTAGTGATATTTCATCATTTTTTGTTTCAGTTAAAACAATTTAGTTCTTATTTTTTTGCAAATATTAATTGAACTAGCAGATGTTTAATATTAAGAGTAACATACATTCACATCAGTTTTTCAAACTTTTCNGGTGGAAGGGGCTTGGATCGTGACAGGATAGTCATAGCACTTCACATTTTACTGCATTTAATGCTGCAATTTACTGGTATATATCATATATGGGTGTAAATAGCTTTCTGTAATATCTTTAAAAATTTGGTGGTCAGGTCCGTGTACCAGAACAATGACTCATATCACATAGTAATACTATGGCATTCATTTTGACATTGAAAAGCCCATTTAAGAGCAAAATATTAACATAAATTGCTTATAAATGGGTATTTCAATGTTAAAATTGCAATATTTAGACCCTTGTCAAATCCGTGTATTTATTCTGTCAATTACCTGTTGTAATCATCTTACAGGGGGCTGGCTGAGAAGAATTTCATGCTGCATTATGAGGTATGGTAAAACAATGGGTGATTTTTAAATTCTGGAACACCAATTTCATTTTTGATGCTGTAAGTAACTAGATCGTGAATTTGTTTTACCTGAATCAGTATTTAAACTACTTTGAGAACATTTATGTTGATCATCCCTGTCAGTTATATATTTATGGACTTAATTGGGTCTTATGCTGGCAACATTTTTTCCAACAACAGTTGGGCAGTTTGATAATGGTATTTTCAGTTTCCTCCATATGCAACCAATGAAACTGGCAAACAAGGTGTAGCTAACAGAAGAGAGCTTGGTCATGGTAGGGAAATTTTGAAGTCAATATTTTTATTCTAATTTGCATTTTAATAAAAAGATCATTTAATAATTTAACAGTTTGTACTCGTATAAAGAATATTAGCATGTTTAATGGGAATTGTTATATTTGAAAAAGATGGACATTGTTTAGGGATAGCTTAAATGTATATAATGTCCACAGGTGCCCTGGCAGAAAAAGCATTGAGAACTGTACTACCAGAAGACTATCCCTTCACAATAAGACTTACTTCAGAAGTCCTTGAATCAAATGGTAAGAACATCATTATCATCTAACTGATTTCTAGAGGAAATAAGGCATTAAATGTACAGACAAAAAGCAGAAAATAATGATGCACAAAATAGGTTTTTTTGCCAGTTTTGGATGCAAAACACATTGTGCTCAATGGCAAAGTCAACACCAAATTTTAATTATGCATAACAGGTTACACTCTGTTATGAATATGTAACTAGCAAAAGGCTTCAGTGCCAAGAGAGTTCAGAGTCACACCTTGAAAATGAACATTTCACAAAAAAAAAAAAAAAAAAAAAAAAAAAAAGGGATTCCGTCAGGATGTTTTTCAAATTTGACCTTTATGTATGTTCTGTTCATCAGTCCTTAAAGTTTGAAGACAGTCATACAAATGGTTTTTCATGAAATGTGGTATCTGTCTTGCACATAGTAACAAAAATGCTGTAAAAAAAAAACTGCATGAAAATAATCACAATCAAGCTGATTTACATTGATCACTCCTGTAAGTTTGAAGACAATAGACCTGTCTCTCTTTCTTCAGATGTGTTATCTGTATTGCATGTAGTATAATATATTCAGAAAAAAACAGCACAATTTTTTCCGAAAAATGGTCCAGGCAAGCTGATTTTCGAACCCTACCTGTAATTATTGAATATTCATCAGCTCTGTAAGTTTAAATACAATAATGTTATCCCTTAAAGTGCATGGGAACATCCATGAATGATGCATGATGCAGGTGATGGCTATATGTACAGACAGATGTGTCTGTACATAAAAAGCAAGGACATAAAAGTTTTGCATGTCATGTAACTTCAAAAGAAACAAAAATGCAAAATTAAAATGTACAACTTGCATAACATGTGGGAGGTTTGAACACTTTTTATAGAAAATTAATGTTTATTGCTAATATAATGCAAATGTGTTTAAATTAAAAATGCTAATTTTTGTTACATAATGCTAATTTTGTGTTCATTCCTGTTTAGGATCTTCATCTATGGCCACTGTCTGTGGGGGGAGTCTCGCTTTAATGGATGCAGGTATACTTATAGCTGTTTATTCTCTGATACATCAAGCTCATGTCTTTGCATGAAAAAGGCGTACTGATGTGAAAAAATAATTTTGTTGTTTTGAGATTTCTTGCATAATCTGACGTTCTTGGTGTCATGGTCAATTTATGTCGTGTTTGTACACTAGTAGTTTCTTTCCATCACACTGTATTTGAAACATTTTGGTTATTTGTGCCATGGTAGATTCTAGGAACAAAAGCCAATGCATACAACTGATTAAACTCCTTCATATTGCATATACAACATTTTCCTACACCAATAAATCATGTTACAATAGTTGGTTTATATTCACCTTCAAGGAGTACCTATATCTGAACCTGCTGCAGGGGTAGCTATCGGTGTATTTACAAACTATAAAGGTGATGATGCATCCAGTGATCTTAATGAAGATAGCAAGGAACAAACAGGACAGGATGAGAAGCACTGTTTACTTACAGACTTAGTAGTAGGTTCACAAGTAAAGATTATAGATTGTTAGAGATGGAGCATATTAATTAAAAAGTTTTATATAAATTTGAAGGATGAAGTCTTCATTTTCTAATCATGAATTCTGAATTTGTTCCATTATCTTATGGATTATGTGCTGGGAATAGATTTTTTCCATTTATGAAATTTGCAATTTAAACTAAATTGCACATAGTTAAATCATAATTTGATGACTTTTTTTAAAAGGGGTAACAAAATAAGATGTCTGATTTCTTTTTTAATTAACTTTTGTCTTTTTTGCACAGGGCATAGAAGATTATATGGGTGATATGGACTTTAAGATGGCAGGCACAAAGTTTGGTGTCACAGCTATACAGGTAAAGTATAAATCAATTGACTGATGAAAAAAGGGGCATAAATAAAAAAAGAATAGTACATTTTTAGATAAATATTTTAGGGCCTTAAAAAGGGATATTGATGCCACAAAAAATAATTATAATTTATCAATTTATCTTCATTTATGTCTCAGTTGTGTTGACAGCACCACTTTAAGTGTGAAGTTTAGCATTAGAATGTGTTTTCAAGACCCCATATGTGAGTAGTGAAATAAAGTTAGAATTCCAAAAGCCATTTAAAGGGATAACAACTCTTTGTTTGAGATCCATATTTCACAATAATTACATTGTAAACAACACATATAGATATAATAAATTGTATTTTACCACCAAAACGGTGGTTATCACAATTACTCTAGGATTGGTGCATGCCATCGGACCATGTAACCTTCATAGATGGCTAGCTACCCTCTGTAATAATGTTTTAAGAGATTATTACAAAAGACAAAACTTGTTAAAATACAAAGGGACTAACTTTGAAGATGGAACAAATTCATTAACCATCGTTAAGTATTGGAATATTGTTGTTTACTCCAGGAAAATCATTTTTTGTCCAAAATGAACAGTTGTTAACCCCTTAAATTGAAGTGAATTGTGTAGCAAAAGTAAATTGACAAATAAAAATGTTGATGTGAATATATACATGTTTTTTTTAAACTTTAGGCAGATGTCAAAACACCTGGTCTTCCTACAGATGTGATGATAGAAGCAACGGATGAAGCACAGGTTGCCATTAAAAAACTTTTGGACATCATGGCTGAGACCCTCCCAACATACAGATCACAGAAGAAGGAAAATGCTCCTGTTACTGGTCAGCTTAGTTCTTGTGTTTGAATTTTATTTGGCATTTTGGGGATATTTTTTAAAATTCAGTTTATTTTACTATTGTATTTTTTGATTAAATGAATACATTTTTTGGCAGTTCATGTAATTCTGAAGACTCCATCCAGTATCTGTTATTTTACCCTTGTCTTTTTTTTTCAGAAAAATTGGAGTTACCCTTGTCCAAAAGAGCAAAATTTGTAGGTCCTGGGGGATACAATATTAAAAAATTAAGGTCTGAAACAGGTGAGCATTTTTTGAAAGAAGATTATATGCAGACACTGTAAATGTCTTTTTGTTCTGCTCAATAATAATAATAATAATAATAATAATAATAATAATAATAATAATAATAATATATTTACAACCAAAATATGGATGATGCATTTATAATACTACAAGTGGTAATTCTAAGAAAGACATATTGGACATTATTACATATATTAAAACAAGACATATTTAAACCTTTTCTGAAACATTTTCAAGTAATGCATTGGTATTGAAATTTTTGGATTCATTTGGTAAAATCACAAAATTACTTAAAAGTTGACAAGACTCGGGGGGGATAATAGTACCTGAGGCTCTTGCTGTTCTCAGTTTTAGCACTCTAAATATTTGGGCACTTCATAGCTTATAAAAGTGTCCACTCCATAATGGTAAAATGTGGACTTGGTGGTCACTTGTGTACATTTTTTTGTATCATTGTTTTATGCAACTTGTTGCACCAAAATTGTTGTGATACAGTTGTGTCATCCATATTTAAGTTGTGTGAAGGTCATTTATTTTTTTCACAACAGAATAAGTCTGAATTTTATTCCTTTGATACACTTGTTTAGATGTTATGCAAACTGGAAGTTGAATTTTCAATTTTCACACTTAGTGCCATATTTTTGTGTAACCTATGTGGCTTTTTTTGCAATGTAAATATTGCATACTAAACATTTCAAAGTTGGATAATGTTTTTCTTAGTTCACTGGAATTTGTCTGTTCATATGACAGTGGAGTAATGGGAATGACTTTTCTTTGAAGTGTCTGTTTGTTTGCCACCCTGAGGTTCAGAGATAACTTGAAACAAACCTCTACTGTATAGCATACCCTTGCTGTTTCAAGTTACCTCTGACCAGATTCCTTAGGCCTGGTTGCCCACCACTCAAGTTTAAAGGCTGCCCCAAATGACCCATTGAAGGATCTAGCCAATAAACAAAAATGAGTCAAAGCATGGTTTGTTCAAATTCAGAAAAGGTAACGAATATATATTTTGCTGCGCCAGAAAACAAACACATGCATTGCCCTTGTCTCATTGGATATATTTCTAGACTTCTATCCAATCAGTGTTTTCACCAAACTTTGGAGAAAGATCTTGAAAACATGAAATTGATTGATTTAATAAACTAGGTCAAAACGAATCTGGTCAGAGGTAACTTGAAACAGCAAAGGTTGCTATAGTGTAGAAGTTTGTTTCAAGTTATCTCTGAAGCTCAGGGTATGTGTTTGCTAGCTTCACTGTATAGTTATCAAGTTAAAACTTAATTGCTCTGAATTAAATGCAAGAAAGGATTAAGTATAATGTGCAACTTGAGTCCCTGAAATGCCCCTATTTGTACCACCAGCATTAGCGCTGGCGGTACACATGGTTTTAGTCCCGTCCGGTCTGTTCCGCCGGCTCCGCCGGCTCCTGCGGCTCCGCCGGCTCCGCCGCCATGTTACCGTTACCGCTTCTCCTCCTAGACGGTAAGGGCCCCCATACCCATCTCTTGGATTTAGGTCACCTATAATCTCAACTCGTTCCACGTAAAATTTGGGCTTTGTCGGTATTGGGGTCTAGGTGTGGCACTCATTGCAATGCACCCTTGTCCAAAAATGGCAAAATTAAATGCTAATTATCTACCCTACGGAAGGAATTATGGGAAAAATTTCTACAGACGGCTTTCCAAAAGTCATATGTGTAGATTTCAAATATGCCCTTGGATTTGACCTTTGACCTTTATTTCAAGGTCAAACGGGCAAAAATTTTCAAAAAAATGAATTTTTTT